TCCCCCCCCCCCCCCGGGGGTTTACCCTGGGTGCCAGAGACTTTTCTACCGCGGTTTCCGGTTTCTGTCAAGTCTCGATAGAAAAACCTCTGGTTACCAGTGTAATAAAGGTTGGGCGATGGAACCACAGGCGGCCCGGACTTTGAATTTATGAGATCTTGATATGAGAGAGTGTATGAAAACAAACAAAATACGTCTTACAAAAATAGAAATAAAAATGACTCTTCGCTTCTAGAGCCATTTGGAAGCCGTTTCATCGAAGTTTAAGATTTTGAGTTGCATTTTAAAACAGCAAGAAATATAAACTCAAAGTCCAACGACCTCCCCTCCCACAGAGTTGTTCAGCCTGTAATGAAACGAGCGCTTTTTCCTCGCTTCTAGTGCGCTTGAAGGCCGGCGAAATTTTCCTTTTTTGCAAACCTGAAATCCTATTTTCTTTCTGTATTCAGCCTACTGCGTGAAATAGGTAAATTCGGTTCATAACAATATTAATAAGTTTATGTCTGTGTGCCTGTATGATCTATAGATGAGGAGAAGTCGTTACGTCAGTTGCCATGGTAGCAAAATTTTTGGATGGCAACAAACCAAAAACGTCGTGAATTCGCACTGTTTCAAACTTTATCCTTCCCGGGGGGGGAGGGGGTTACTCGACCAATATTTGGGTATGGGTGAGCCGCCGAGGGTTTGAAACCCTGACCCTGTTTAGGACAAAAAATTCCTAAAATACATACCCGTTTAGGAAGACATCCTCAATTTTGGTACCCTGTTTAGGGCAACTCCCTCAATTTTATTACTAGAACGGACTCGCACAAATCATGCATACTGTTTAGGACAGACTTGCGCGAAATTATATACCCTGTTTAGGACAGAAAGGACGAAAACCATACCCTGTCCAGCGGCACATCCTCTTATAGGTCATATAAGAGAGTACCCCCCACCCCCGGGCTTTATCGAGCTTATCAATTTCATTCAATTTTGTCAAATGTTGGAAAATTTGCTGGGGTTGAATCTGAGAGGACCATATCAAAGTTTAGAACTGAGGAAAAGGAAATTTTTCTGTTGTTTTCACCTACTCCATAAATGGGAGCGTGAAAGTAGGAATCGTGCAACGAGGGCTAAGAAATGTACAAGAAAGCGTGATGCACGTGCAAAGTTTTGTTCTCTAATATAAACCTGTTGTTTTTTGCCCTTCTCGTTGCCGTCGACGTCATACTTCTACGGGTTTTGGGGAATGGCGACGCCCAAAACGTGGGGATGCCCATTTTAGCCCTTTTTCGATTGCGAAATTTGTTGTTTTTAGAGAACTTCCACTTTCCTCCCTTTCCTCTTACGCCTCCCGTACCATTCCCGCTATTTCCCCAGGATCCCACCCCCCTGTCCTCCACTAGCACCATCCTCGTCGGCACCTGCCGTCTCAGATGTATAAACTCTGCGGAGGAGAGAGTTCCAGTCGTTAGAGCTTGTGTCTCTGCTCACAGTTGTTCACCATGTCCGTAGATTTATCATCCGAACCGATCATGGATACTGGTACACAACACTTTTGTGTGGAAGTGATGAAGCGACTCGATATTGAACGTAAGAATGGGCAATTCTGCGATTTGATTCTGGAAGTTGGTTCCGGAGACGAGAAAGCGCGTTTGAAAGCCCACAGAAATATATTGTCTGCAGCAAGCCCGTACTTTTACAAGGCACTTAACAGTAACATGAAAGAAAAAATCGAAGGAGTAATCGGTTTAGAAGAAACAAGCAAATCTATCATGGAAGGAGTTTTGGATTATATCTACACTGGATATGTATCCGTCTCCGAAGACAATGTTTACGAATTGTTTGCAAAGGCAGATTATTTCGATCTTCCAGCCCTCAAGTCCTTTTTGAGCAATTTCATTTTAAAAAACCTTTCCTTGTCTAACTGCGTCGTGGCCTATTATTTTGCCTCAAAGTACCAGTGGGAGCAGTTAATAAGAGGAACAAGGGCTTATATTTTGTCAAATTTCCTGTCTGTTGCTGAGACCGATGATTTTCTAGATTTAAGCTGTGAGCAAGTAAAGGAGTGGATTTCAAGTGACGAAATAATCGTGGATGCAGAAGAGAACGTTTTTGAGGTAGTTTTAAGATGGAGTGAGAGAGATGAGAGTAGAAAACGAGACAATTTCCGAGATTTGTTTCGACACATCCGCTTTATCCATATGTCACGTGATTATTTGTTTCGATTCATTCTTCCACATCCTTTGGTAACAGATAATGTAGAGTGCTCATCTGCAGTGTTAAATGCCATGAAGTCAGCCTTCGATGGAACAGATAATAGCCTTTTTTCGCAATCACCAAGAAATTGCTTGAAAACTCATGAAGATGCCATTGTTGCCTGTGGAGAAAGAAGAGTGTTCTGTTACCTCCCTGATGATAAAGTATGGTTCGAGTTGCCCGAAATGATAAACAGGTTTGACTCTCCCCATCATTCGGTGAGTGTATGCCACGGCAAACTGTATGTAATGGGTGATCGTAAGAATGTAAGCGGTTTTATTCCATCGAGTGGAGTAGTGGAGCATTTTGACCCATCCCTTCGCCAGTGGAATGAAGTGAATATTCCAGATATAGTTTCCTACTCATCTGCAGCTGTTACCATGCAGGGATTTTTGTATGCTGTGGGTGGGAAAAATAGGTGGGGCCACAATCCGTTATGCACTGTACAGAAATATAATCCTGACACAAATCGGTGGCATAAAGTTTGCCCGCTGAGCAGCGCCAGGTCACGTGTGTGTGCTGTCACTGATGGAAGTTATCTATATGCTGTTGGGGGCATTGATGAGACAGGACAATACCTGAATATTGTTGAAAGGTTTGACCCTAGAAAGAATACATGGGAAAATCTTCCTCCCATGCTTGCAAGAAGAGCCAATGCTGGGGGTGCAGTGATCAAGCAAAGGTTGTTTGTATTTGGAGGAGATTCAAATGATAATGACTCCTGTGAAGTGTTTGATCATCCAACCAACATGTGGAGTAGTATTCCTAGTCAGGATATCCGAAGACAACCTACCAGTGCTGTAAGTTTTAAAGGAAAAATATATGTGTGTACAACTAATGCTGGTTCAAGTGGATCTAAAAAATTTCAAGTCTATGATGTTGATCAAAACCAGTGGGAGCCATGTACGTTTCCAGTGGATACTTACGAACTTTATAAACTTTCTTGTCTCAGAGTTTCAAAAAATGCTTTGTCAAAATATAGAAAAGTTTCAAAGTAACCACAAGTTTGTGTTTTATGTCCTTCCAGCTAGTAGAAGGCATATTTGTCACAATTTACCGATATATTTTTAACCCTTACCACTAGTTATCTGTAACTTAGTGTCAATGATGATAGTCAACTTGCAGTAAGTAGGTGTTTTCTGATTAAATATATTATAAAATAAGTTGAATGTAATTATTAAAATTGAATGGTTTTTGAAAATGTTACCTGTGTTATATTTTCCTGACTATCATTCCCTGAAGCACGAAGTTCCATTGCAAAATCTGTTACATATAGCCCTGTAGCTAGGGCACTTATTGGTCATTGCAGAAAATAGGATACACAAACTTGCTAATCAGCTTCGCAAACGTGTTTGATAAAGTCCTCTTATAGGAATCCTTGAGAGATTATTACATGGCACATACTGCTGGAAGCTAAAGGCTGTGTACTGCATTATATGGTATAGGGTATGGCAAACATTTATTGAAATACTTGGGACCACAACTTTAACCAAAGCTAGACTCAAAGATAAGGAACACACCATCAATTAATACGTTAATAAAGGCTGTAAGAAAGCAAGATTTAGAATATGCCCTACTAACGAAACTGTTTATTATGCTCATCGTAGTTTCTGTAACATATTTTAGCAATCAATTGTATATAATTTTTTTAACAGTTTTTTGATACGTCTTAAAACTATCTTATTTTGTAGTAGGTATACTGGTATAAAAGCTTTTTATTTTTAGTTTAGTTTATAGTGTCCTAACTTTGTGGGAAACGGCTATTAATTTTTGACACTTAAATAAAGTTATCCAAACCAGGTAGACAGATAATAACTATGTAATTACTACCATAAGATAAAAAAGTTTTTTTTTTTAGTATCGTTTCAAGACAAAAATAACATGTTTTAAAATATTTGTTCGTGTATAATCTCAGTGAGACTCTATTTACATCTTTTGTCTATACAGTCGACTTTCTCTTCACAGAAACCTCTATAAAATTAACACCTCTGTAAAACGAATACCTAGAGTTGGTCCCCACCTTTCTTTACTTCCTTTACATTTTGACTTTCTATAAGTGTTGGAACCATGTCTGGACAATAAATTAAAAATGAATTTCTTTACCGCTTCTTCTTTACTGAGTCAGAACAGACGAAAAATAAAAGAAACATGACATACCATGAAAAAAAATTCTGACAGACATATAAACAGTGATTTCCTCAATATTATTATTTTTATTCTTAACTATGTATAATCATCTACATCTCTTGAAGAGAGAGCTGAACGGCCATTTGGAGAACTTCTTCTTCAGTCAAATCTGAAACAAAGAGGAATAACAGATATTGAGTAAGACAAGCATCAGACAATGTAAGATATTCAAAACTTGGAATTAACTTTGTATTAACTCTTGGGGAGATTTTCAAGAGACGACTAATCTGCCCACTTTCTAAACCCTTTGGTAGACTGCAAAACAGTCGGTTTTTTTCTCAAAATCAGTAAAGAAATCGGTAAAGCATGGCATGAGAGTCTTAAACTTGACGGCTTGGTGACAGCTTGCACCAAAATTTAGCCAATGGGAATTGCCCGTGGCCAGGAGAAGCGGGTAATTCGAACGAATACAACGTATGCAAAACGGACAGTCTGTATTTTTAGCGTCTCTCCCCAGTCTCGCTTTCTGTTTTCAGCCTCGTTCCAGACCTTTTGTTTGACTGCTTGCGCGTACTTGAATACACAAAATACGGACTGTTTTGCAGTCTAACCCTTTGGCTGCAGAAATAGCCATTTTCTAATCATTTATGGCCACCCAAGGGCACTCTGCTGAAATGTCCCATACGATGTGAGGAAATAAGGACAGAAGAAGAAAGGCCCCAGGGGGATGGTTCAAGGATTTTTTTGGGTATCAAATTTTTCAATTTTGGGAAGTATTTTTTTTGGGTGGCTTGATTTAAGTAGGGCCTTTTTTAGTATTTAAGAGGCCCTGCCAGGCTAAATTCCGACAAGCGACATGACCCAAAAAGTAGCGACAGAGCGTAAAATGAAATTGCGATAAAAGACAACCTCCCTTGGCCAAATTGTGACAGTGATGGCAAAGCCATGAATAAGTGTCAAAGAACAGTGGTTTGGCTAATTTATCACCAGTCTGAACGCCAAGAAGAAGTATTTTTCATCAATTTTCCTAGCGCTTCAGAGAAGTCAGAGAATGTCTCTTGTCTCTTGTCAGTTAGCTTCAGTGGAACCTCCTGAGCGCGCGTCACAGTACACTTCATTAATTTTAAGCAACCCTGCACGACTACTGGGAGACAGTGCCTTCACGATTATCACGATTATCAAGTCAGTTAGCCTTAAAATGTTGAACGTGGATCACGTAATTGTGAATGGTGATGTATAGGTATTTGATACGCCCAATTTTAACTGAGAAATTGCGGAACTGTCAGTAATGATTTCTTTACAACGCATTGCTACTGCCCCCCTTTTCTAAAATTCCGACAAAGACAAAGAATTTTTGTTCAATTTCCGAAAGCGACATGAAGCATTTAAAACACCGACATGAGATGTTTTAAAATTCAGACTAGTGACATGGGACTCCCCTCCCCCACTGGCAGAGCCTCATTCAAAACAATCTGAAGTTTGTTGTTAGTGCCCGCATATCCCATCCACAAACACTAACATTTAATCATTTTCCTAATTAATTTCTTGTGTTTAATATATCATTTAATGCTTTTTTTGGAAATTTTTAAGGCTTGGAATTTTGGGGGGTTAATTTTTGGTCCAGAGGTTTTCTTGGGTTTTGTTGGAAGCCCTAGGCATTTTTTGGGTTTCGATTTTTTCCCACCATTTTATCATCCCTGTCACTTGAAATCCAGAGTACCCCGATGGGGAAGAGGCTGTTCTTTATGGGACCCTGCAACCCCTCTACTTACTCCAGATACCCCTTTCCCCTACCCCCAAGTAAAAATCCCAACACTGCTTGATCTAACAGTTTTGGTCAAGATTGCATGTGGTTGTCAGAGGATTTTGTCAATTACTGTTCCATTTACGCCTAATTCAAAACAAAGCGCATAATTTTAAGAGATGGCGATTGTCATCATTTTTTTTAGTTATAGGTCAGCGCCTAATTAGTCAGAGGCAAGGCAAGGCAAGGTAGATAATATGCTGAATATCTGTTCGATTAAAGTTATCATAGAGTTAAACTGTGGCCTTCCCTATTACACTCTGTTTGGGCTGCATTTTATGGCTGTATTCTAGAATAGGAATATATTTTTTAAAAAAACTGACACTACGAATCATTTTTTTTACACTGGCTGGCGGCCTAAGGAAAAGGATAAGTACCTATAAACAATCTCCATTGACCAGTGAGAAAAAAAGGAAGAGTGGAAGGTCAAGGGAGAGAAGAATTTCAGCATGTGGTCTGCTTGAGAATGAGTGATTCTTTCTGGTTCCCTTCAGACATGGAATATTTTACATTCTTTACCAAATATCACCTGATATTGGTCCCTGATGATTTGAAGGTGCATCTGTTTGTATTGTGGTTTGATTATTGCCCGTCTGGCTTTCTCCTTGCCTGAAAGAAGTACAGTGACATGTTTTTACAGTATACACAATAGGCCTGGGGGGTAGTGGCCTATTAAGGGTGGTTGCTAAAGGAAAATCTGATCTACATTTGGATTTCTTGTTAGGGGTGGCAAATGCAAATGCAAATGGTAAACTTTGCAACTCAGGAACGCTGATCTTGAATGTAAACACATCAATATGTAACAGGCTTGACTGAGCCTGGTAATTACCAAGACCTGCAAGAAAGCGCTCCAGTGTAAAAGGATTACCCTACCCACCAGATAAGTCACTGCCCAGCAGATACTGTACATCTCTTACAAACCAGCCTAAGGCCTGGTGGATGCACCAAATTTTTGCCAAAATATGAAACAGATGATTATAAGCCAGATTGGTTCAGCAAGTGCTCAGTAGTGTCATGGGGAAGTGGACCACTCTTCAAAATTGATAATAGAGAACTTAAGCAACAGTGACAGCGACGGCTAAAAACGTCAGTTATTAAAAGGTGATTTAGCACTGCCTCAAACTTTATTGCGCATATTCCATCTCATTTAATTTGTCAAATGTTGGCAAATTTTTTTGGAGTCGAATTCTTAAAGACTCTATCAAAGTTCAAGAAAAGAAAAAGAAAGTTGTTGTCTAATGACTGTTCCTATCCTCAACAAAACACGAAATTAGGCACTTTCACATTGTAGTCATGCAACAACGGCTAAAAATGTACAAAAAAGAGTGATGCACATACAAAGTTGTTGTTTTGCTACTATTAACCTATTGCTTTTTGCCATTGTTGTTGCTTAAGCTCCCTAATAGAGAAAATAGGTCCCCCTGAGTATGGAAACACTTCACTCCTTTGAAAATGTAATAAACTGTCTTACCTTGTAAAATATAACTCTCGCTTTCTTCTAACTTCTTCGGTATCTACAGGTTGGTCTGATTTATGATACATTAAATAAAAGAAAAATGAGGTTTATATTACAGGCTGCCAATGCTCATATTGACAAATTAATGACCATGACTTTCAGGAAAAAATATGGAAGTAAAGTTAACCCTTGCCCATCAGTACAACCTTGAATGAAACAATCACCCAAACCCACAAGAGTTGGTGGTCACAACAAGTACCCTCTTATCACTGAAAAAATGCCTTGCATTCACTGAGTGGTTGCTGAGGAGCAATACATAGCGAGGCAGGACACTATACATTGCAGCAGAAATTTTCAAAATTTGTCACATGTAAAGTTCTCTACTTAAGGAAAGATGTACAAAAGTTAATGATTGGCTCTTCAAAATAATCAGAACAAAACAGGAGAAAATCAAGCAGACTTCAGTACTATATCTATTCATACTAGTTAAAAGGGTCTGGTATTTCTCTTCCTTTACCTACAAAAAGAAAAACGTTTCTTTTACCTATTGTAGTTGCTTGCTGAAGGGCAGCCGATAAATCAGATCTATTTACAAATTGATACGAAGTCATTTTAGAAGGAGGTTTTTTCTCAGGTTTGGCTGGACAAAGCTTTAATAACTGATCTGCTTCACTTTCTGGCAGTCTTCCCATGATAACAAATATGGAGTAACCTATAAAAAGGAAGATTGACAGAAAGTTAATGGTTATTTATGTTGGACTCTCAAATTACCAATAACATCTTGATCAGCAAAGTGTTTTAACGCTAATGAATGATTCCAGCCCCTTAAAATACTAAAACTGAACTAAACTGGCCATGACAAACTATTGATCATAAAGACTGAATATCAAACTCCTATATAACATCTTAAAAATTATTTCCAGAAGAATACAGACAAATCCCAAAAATGAAAATTAACCTTCATGCACATGCACGGGGGTGGGGTTGGGGTTGGGAGTGGTCACTGTATTAGGCAACAATTTATTAAATGTTTCCTAGCTAGTCCCATCATGATTTCATGCTCCTCTCACCTTCTGTTTGTAGCTGTTTCAGATATAAGGACAAGTATGTTTCTGAAATTAACTCTGGTTTGGCCAACAGTGAGTTGAGATTAAACCACTGAAAGGAACAAAAGTTAACGGAACTTGAATAACCATCACAACCTAACATTTTCACCTTAATTAATACAGTGAATTGGCCAGTTAAGTGATTTAGAACAAGAAATTCCAAGTGCTTGTTGTCAGAGATGCCAAAAGAGGATTATAACATGATAAGGATAAATTGGCCAAAACGAAAGATAGTGAAGGGCAGAAAGCATTGGCAAAATTTCCCCTCTTATCTCAGGTTACTTTATGCAGCTGGACCCAGGGCTATCATTACATTTTGAAGCAGGCATAGCATATCACTCTCAACCCAAACGTTTTTGACATCTCTTTTGGCTATAGCAGTATCATTACTAGCTTCATAACAAACAGCTCTACTTGATTTAACAGGTTTTAATGGTAATACACTGCTTTGAAAATTTACATTCATTACCATATTACAGGGTACAGTCAAACCACTCTAATATAAACACCAAAGAGACAGACTCAGCTTCTGTGCTATTACAGGTTTGTCCATCATTTTACAGAACAGCCGCCTGTAAGGAGAGGTTTGACCATCTTTAAACCAAGGGTCTCTTTTTATTTTGGTCCATTACCTGATGACCCAGCTTTCGTATTGTTAGCCAATGTTGTTGTAAATTACATATGAATGCCCTCTGGTTTCTAGTTTGAGAAAAGCAAGAGTAATAAAATATCAAAACTNGGCCAAAACGAAAGATAGTGAAGGGCAGAAAGCATTGGCAAAATTTCCCCTCTTATCTCAGGTTACTTTATGCAGCTGGACCCAGGGCTATCATTACATTTTGAAGCAGGCATAGCATATCACTCTCAACCCAAACGTTTTTGACATCTCTTTTGGCTATAGCAGTATCATTACTAGCTTCATAACAAACAGCTCTACTTGATTTAACAGGTTTTAATGGTAATACACTGCTTTGAAAATTTACATTCATTACCATATTACAGGGTACAGTCAAACCACTCTAATATAAACACCAAAGAGACAGACTCAGCTTCTGTGCTATTACAGGTTTGTCCATCATTTTACAGAACAGCCGCCTGTAAGGAGAGGTTTGACCATCTTTAAACCAAGGGTCTCTTTTTATTTTGGTCCATTACCTGATGACCCAGCTTTCGTATTGTTAGCCAATGTTGTTGTAAATTACATATGAATGCCCTCTGGTTTCTAGTTTGAGAAAAGCAAGAGTAATAAAATATCAAAACTACGTGTCATGCAATTTTGGCCTGAAATCATACTTGAGATTTCAAATTGATTTTAAAAGAGTTTGATTTCAGATCAAATTGCACTCCCCTCAGTTCAATAACCATTATTAAATATCATTCAGACCTTGTTTTCTCAACGGGAGTCTGTTCTGAAAGTTACAGAACTTATTTTTTGCAGGATAAAAAGCAACTGGGCCATCAATCTGTGATCCAAAGTTTCAAAACTGGGTTGTAATAACTTCCAGTTGAGTACGGATCTTTAACTTATTTATTAGTAGGAGGTATTTGTTACCACCTGAGATTAATCAAAGGTGGCTGCTTCATCAACACGTCAGTAGTAAGCCAGGGAGTGCCTCCATTGATAAACTTGGCCATAAACTCTCAAACCCTCAAAAATCTCAGTTTCGATTCTCAGCTGAATCACCCAAAATAAAAACATGTGTAATGACTTTTATTGACTAATAATCAATTTAATACCACATGATCAATGATTCAAAGCTCTTTATTAGTATATGATATATTTTATATTTTTTCTTGAAAGAAAAGTATTTTAGTAATTTCTACTTTTTAGGTATAGATTCTTAATGACAATTATGTACTTTACTTGGCATGTTTTTAATGTTATTAAATATGTACCTGGGGCCCGTTTATCGAAAGTCCCAATAATTAACGGGCCCGGTAAGCTGTCTCGGTTGCCATTAAAGATCGAGGTTTCAATAGTTTTGCATCTAACATGATAAAACTATCAGTTAACGAAACAAAATGGAGTTGTTTGCCAGCCAGGACCTGCGCTCTTATTCTTTTTATTTCGATTTGAATATTTGATTTCAGGCCCGAAAAGTTAACGGGACTTTCGAGAAACGGGCCCCTGGCCCCATAAGCTGTATTAGCTTTAATTCTACCCATGTTTAAATAAAAGTTGTGGTTGTTTGTTTTAAAAAAAGTTTCAGTAGAGTACCAAAGCTTACTGAGGGTTTTCTCTTGCCTGTCCAGCATCTGGACTAAGGAAAGGAATCAGTTCAATATTCCATACTCTAAGCGCATTGCATATAACCTAAAAAAAAACACAACAAAACAAAACAAAGTCAAACAATAAAATTGTTGGCAATACTCTTTTACTTTACAGTCAGTCAACTGGTCATTTATATTAAGAAAATGTTCAATTTGAGCGGGATATTTGACGTCATTATTTTGAACCTTTTAAATCTAAAGAAACTATAGCAGAACCTGCAAAATGTCAAGGCATATTACCAGGCATATTTTATGTAAGGGGGCAGCAGTGGTGATTTCTTGTATGTGGTAGGATGCTTGAGATGAAGACACCAACTCCAGACCTTGCACAAGGCTGGATGGTTAATAGCATAACTCCATACCAGAGGTTTTTCTCACCTCTTTGCCACTCCTGGCTTCGGCCTTCAGCAGAAGATCTGTCAGCTCCAAACAGAAGCACCCCACCACACACAAGAGAAACCCTCTGGTAGCTATAAAGGTATCAGGAAACAAACCTGACTGTTTTCTTTGGTACTAGTTATTAATATATTATTGTTTGAAAATGCCTACCAAACCACTGAGTGAGATGAATATTACCCCCCCTCCCCCCCTCCCTCAGCCCAATGAAAGAATGTTTCATTGATACCTGAATGGAGAAGAATCCACTGTCATCCATGTTTGAAGAAGGTTGCTGATTGAAATAGAGGAAAGAATTCTAACCATAAATATGACTGCATTCATTTCATTTTGGTATATTACACTATAGGTTAGATATATTGAAGTTCAATTTTATCCTTAGTCTAACTTTTAGTGGGTAGCTAATGTATGACACAATGAGTTAGAGTCAAAGAAAAATAAATGTAAATCAGAGATAACACATACAGGCACATTAGGGTGCACGCAAACACGTTCCTAGGGTCCTTTCCTACTCAGACCCCGAGTGAAAGAGGGGTAGGGACGACCCTGAGAATGAGGTTGGGGTGCACGTATTATGGTAGATAAATATATTAACTAGTTCTACAAGCACTACATAAAATCCTTGTTGCACCTTTAGAAATTCCTGATAATCATTAGATGTGACATCGCCCTCTGCCATTCTGTCTCTTTCATCTTCATCAAGTTGTCTTGCTATATCAGCCAAGTCTACTGCAGTGAAGTAAGGGCCTACATTTCAAATTGAAAAAAAAGGATAGAATCACCTTTAAACTACATAACATCATTTTGTTTTATGTCAAAAAGGGTATATTGTCTCTGAAATGATCACAGATGATCAACTTAAGTTTCAGGAATTCACCCAATCATGTAGAAAGAACTTACATTGCAAACAAAGCACAATATATAGTTATTCCAGCTTGGAAAGTGAAAATGCTCTTCAAATCATAAGGTCAAATTATTTTTGGAGTGAAAAGATGTGATCTTTTGGATTAATTATTGGACTTCTTTGATAACATTTTTAAGAACTTCTGCCAGTCATTATATCAGGAAAAAGCTACTGAAAATAAATTTGACATCTTCTTCAACTACTTTGTGTTGACAAGAAAAAAGGACTATATTCTAGGAAGTCATTTTTAATGTTTGCTCACTGTTTAAGTTATTTACTTAGAAATGCCTGGATAAAGGAGATTGTCATCTAAAGAGGCAATTACTATTGAATTAAAATGAGCTCAGGCTTCAAAATTAGATTAAAATTGAAACTCCAAAGCTCCAAAAGATGTAGCACTTGGTTCTTTGTCATATGCAGCCAGATATGCCGGTCTTTCAGAGCTAGCATCGATCCAAGAGTTCTGTGATAATAGTTTCCATTGTACAGAGATAGGCATTATATGAATTATAGTCACTGAGGAAAGTAACGATCTACAGCTGATCCACAGGAAATAAACTTTTTTGAGGAGAGGTTTTCACCGGGTTTACATTAGAAAAAGTTTACCTTGTAGTAAAGCATTCAGGCAGTGTTGGGCACAAAGAGAACCTTCTTGCTGTATAACAAACAAAAGCTAGTCGTTATGAATAAGATTAAACATTTGCAAGTTTACAGGAAGAAAGAAATCGACTGAAAAATGTACCTTCTCATGAAAAATCGCCTCCATACAGACTCGATCAGTGATCACCGGCAGAGAAACTGAAAAACAGCGCGGCCGGAAGACTGGGACTTAGTGAAGCAAGATGTATTGCTTCACAACCCAGAATAGTCTTTACTAATGGCAACAAAATGGAGGATTCGCACGAAGGTAAAGCTTTTTCTCGATGCTTTTATCGACGTTCTTTAAAGTTACACAATTCTCTGTCATAAGCTAGCTTGTTTCTGGTCTGATCCTTACGAAAAAAAATCCAAACGTTTCATTTTTCTTGGAAAATGAAGGCGATTTCTTTTCCCTCTCTACTTGCATTTTCGTCTGCTTGTTTGAATCGCCATGGTTTTAATCGCCATGTTTTCCTTTCTCAGTCGATATTTGCCGGGTTTGTCGAGCGGAAGGAACTCAGGAAAATCCACTGTACCATCCCTGTATATGTACGGGAAGTATTAAATTTATACATCAAGACTGGTATGTAGTTATTTACGCTTAATCTAAGCTTAAATTTTTGCTTCCTTAGCAGAATCGAGACGATATGATTTCCCAACGATAACTGATGATTAAAATCATTCTTGGGCAATATTAAGTACGTGATAAATGCAATACTGAAAAGTTCGTCCAATAATGAAATGTCCTTCAAGAATACCTTAAAAAATTGACTGCCACTGTGTTAGTGTAGTTGTGTTATAACAAGTCACCTCAAGTTTTTATTATTTGCCTTGAATGGGTATTATTAGTGTTAGGCTTCACTTCAGTGTCACAAGACTTTTAATATGTCTACCATTTTCTATGCAGCTTGGTTCGTTGGCTAAAACACAGTAAGAAAGAGTAAGTGATAAAAATTTCACTTTTATGATATTTATCCTTATGCAAATCCACATAAATTTATAATGTTATTATAATAATCATCATCATCATCTAATATTATTATTATTATTATTGTTATTATTATTATTTTTCCACAGCTTTATTGGGTACTCCTCTTGTAATATACAATATAAATTTATAATACAACCCAAAAAAAGAAAAAAAAAGGAAAAGAAAAAAGAAGCAAAAACCCAAAAGGGGTAGGTGCAACGGGACTAACGTCCCATCCCAATCCCATCCCAATCTTTTAGGTTAAACCAGTGTTCATCCTAGTATGATTCAGAATTGTATTTGTTTTCTAGTCCTGCCTACAACATCTACTTGATTATTTTTTAAAGTGCACTTACATTAATTTTAAGGGAAGACAGTGCATTTTTGTAAACCTTTTAATCTCGAGTGTGACTGTATGTACTTCTTGAGGCTTTACTCCAAACATTTTACGCTTAATTGCATACAAAATTCTTAAGAGACTTGCATGTAGATAGTGGGATATGTTCAAGGAAACAGAAAAAGCCTGACCCCACCCCTGCCCTCAATCAAAAGTAGCTTATATAATTATTTTACTTGTTATTTTCTTTAACAAACAAGTGGCAGTTACACATTGCTTATGAGGAACTAGAGGGGGAAGAAGAGCATGAGTTTCACTAAAGTTTAAAAGAATTGAAGAAAACTGTTGAACACTCATTTGCATTTTATTGAATAACAAAAGAATACTAGTAACAAAACACTACATTAATTTATTATATTCTTTATTAATATTTAAGCTCTGAATTTATTTTCTGCAATTCTGTATTTCACTCTAGATACTGGTTTTTGTTTTGAAGTAGACAGGGTCAGGGAAAATAATTATGAGAAATGTCATTGAGGAAAAAGGGTCCAAACTTTGATGTCCAATATCCATTGTATGGTATTGATGGGGAGAATTCATCAGTTTTATCTTTGGTAATCAGGTCATCTCTTCTCTTGACCTCTGTGTGTTTGATGAAGCAGTGATTTTATATATGGAGATAATTAGATTTTGGTCAGTTAGTGACTGGTTTAAAAGATTTTCCAAATAGTGCATTAAAACATTGTTTTCTTTTCCAGATATTGTGAACTATGCAACCATCACTTTGCATTCAAACCAAGTAAGCAAACAATTTTTATTATTGGATGAGTCTTTGACTTTATAATATGAAAGATTATACAAGTAGCTTTTTTGTATTTTCTTTCTATCTTTTTAGGGAGTAGTTTGGCCATAGTGTTTGAAATCTTCCAGCCATTTCTGTGTTCTTTAACTCTCCATTGTTAAATAGAGCTCATAACTGTCCCATGTATGTTGCCATTTATCCAATAATAATATTAATAATTTCTTATGTATTTTTTCCATGAATGCTATTTTAAAGTCTATGCACCAGATATGCCAACAGAGGTTTTTCTCACCTCTTTGCCACTCCTGGCTTCGGCCTTCAGCAGAAGATCTGTCAGCTCCAAACAGAAGCACCCCACCACACACAAGAGAAACCCTCTGGTAGCTATAAAGGTATCAGGAAACAAAACTGACTGTTTTCTTTGGTACCAGTTATTAATATATTATTATTTGAAAATTCCTACCAAACCACTGAGTGAGATGAATAATTTAACCCCCTGCCCCTACCCTCAGCCCAACAAAAGAATGTTTCATTGATACCTGAATGGAGAAGAATCCACTGTCATCCATATTTGAAGAAGGTTGCTGATTGGAAATAGAGGAAAGAAAACTAACCATAAATATGATTGCATTACATTTCATTTTGGTATATTATTTACACTATAGGATAGATATATTAAAGTTCAATTTTATCCTTAGTCTAACTTTTAGTGGGTAGCTAATGTATGACACAATGAGTTAGAGTCAACGAAAAATAAATTTAAATCGGAGATAACACATACAGGCACATTAGGGTGCACGCAAACACGTTCCTAGGGTGCTTTCCTACTCAGACCCCGAGTGAAAGAGGGGGCCGTGTAGGGACGACCCTGAGAATGAGGTTAGGGCGCATGTATTATGGTAGATAAATATATTAACTAGTTCTACAAGCACTTTATACATAAAATCCTTGTTGCACCTTTAGAAATTCCTGATAATCATTAGATGTGACATCACCCTCTGCCATTCTGTCTCTTTCATCTTCGTCAAGTTGTCTTGCTATATCAGCCAAGTCTACTGCAGTGAAGTAAGGGCCTACATTTCAAATTGAAAAAAAAAGGATAGAATCACCTTTAAACTACATAACATCATTTTGTTTTATGTCAAAAAGGGTATATTGTCTCTGAAATGATCACAGATGATCAACTTAAGTTTCAGGAATTCACCCAATCACGTAGAAAGAACTTACATGGCAAACAAAACACAATATATAGTTATTCCAGCTTGGAAAGTGAAAATGCTCTTCAAATGGCATAAAAATCATAAGGTCAAATTATTTTTGGAGTGAAAAGATGTGATCTTTTGGATTAATTATTGGACTTCTTTGATAACATTTTTAAGAACTTCTGCCAGTCATTATATCAGGAAAAAGCTACTGAAAATAAATTTGACATCTTCTTCAACTACTTTGTGTTGACAAGAAAAAAGGACTATATTCTAGGAAGTCATTTTTAATGTTTGCTCACTGTTTAAGTTATTTACTTAGAAATGCCTGGATAAAGGAGATTGTCATCTAAAGAGGCAATTACTATTGAATTAAAATGAGCTCAGGCTTCAAAATTAGATTAAAATTGAAACTCCAAAGCTCCAAAAGATGTAGCACTTGGTTCTTTGTCATATGCAGCCAGATATGCCGGTCTTTCAGAGCTAGCATCGATCCAAGAGTTCTGTGATAATAGTTTCCATTGTACAGAGATAGGCATTATATGAATTATAGTCACTGAGGAAAGTAACGATCTACAGCTGATCCACAGGAAATAAACTTTTTTGAGGAGAGGTTTTCACCGGGTTTACATTAGAAAAAGTTTACCTTGTAGTAAAGCATTCAGGCAGTGTTGGGCACAAAGAGAACCTTCTTGCTGTATAACAAACAAAAGCTAGTCGTTATGAATAAGATTAAACATTTGCAAGTTTACAGGAAGAAAGAAATCGACTGAAAAATGTACCTTCTCATGAAAAATCGCCTCCATACAGACTCGATCAGTGATCACCGGCAGAGAAACTGAAAAACAGCGCGGCCGGAAGACTGGGACTTAGTGAAGCAAGATGTATTGCTTCACAACCCAGAATAGTCTTTACTAATGGCAACAAAATGGAGGATTCGCACGAAGGTAAAGCTTTTTCTCGATGCTTTTATCGACGTTCTTTAAAGTTACACAATTCTCTGTCATAAGCTAGCTTGTTTCTGGTCTGATCCTTACGAAAAAAAATCCAAACGTTTCATTTTTCTTGGAAAATGAAGGCGATTTCTTTTCCCTCTCTACTTGCATTTTCGTCTGCTTGTTTGAATCGCCATGGTTTTAATCGCCATGTTTTCCTTTCTCAGTCGATATTTGCCGGGTTTGTCGAGCGGAAGGAACTCAGGAAAATCCACTGTACCATCCCTGTATATGTACGGGAAGTATTAAATTTATACATCAAGACTGGTATGTAGTTATTTACGCTTAATCTAAGCTTAAATTTTTGCTTCCTTAGCAGAATCGAGACGATATGATTTCCCAACGATAACTGATGATTAAAATCATTCTTGGGCAATATTAAGTACGTGATAAATGCAATACTGAAAAGTTCGTCCAATAATGAAATGTCCTTCAAGAATACCTTAAAAAATTGACTGCCACTGTGTTAGTGTAGTTGTGTTATAACAAGTCACCTCAAGTTTTTATTATTTGCCTTGAATGGGTGTTATTAGTGTTAGGCTTCACTTCAGTGTCACAAGACTTTTAATATGTCTACCATTTTCTATGCAGCTTGGTTCGTTGGCTAAAGCACAGTAAAAAAGAGTAAGTGATAAAAATTTCACTTTTATGATATTTATCCTTATGCAAATCCACATAAATTTATAATGTTATTATAATAATAATAATAATCATCATCTAATATTATTATTATTATTATTATTATTTTTCCACAGCTTTATTGGGTACTCCTCTTGTAATATACAATATAAATTTATAATACAACCCAAAAAAAGAAAAAAAAAAGAAAAGAAAAAAGAAGCAAAAACCCAAAAGGGGTAGGTGCAACGGGACTAACGTCCCATGCGAGGCACCGCCCCTAGATTAAGACCTAGGTTAAAATAAAATAAAATGAATACTCAAACATTCTTACAAAAAATAAAATAAATTTGCGAGTGGCATGTGCATGCAGGGACTAGTGTCCACATGCAGGGACTAGTGTCCATGCACGTGCAGGGGTAATTGATTTCATATACTTGCAAAAAAGTTGAAAGGCAGTAGGCGAGGAAAAACTGGTTGGGGGTGCTAGCTTACAAACATAGTTCCATAGTTTAACGATATGGTTAAAGTACGAGGCCTGAAAAGTTGATGTTTTGCAAAAAGGGTTGCGAAGATTAAAGGAGTTACTTAGTCTTGTACGATCATGGGAAACAAAAGATACATAATTCTGATCATCTCTATCGGTACACAGTAAAGGCATTTATAAAAAAAAGATCAAATCTTTAAGTTCATGATCTAGAGAAAGTGGAAGTAAGTCTAGCAAAGTCAGGCGCTCTTTGTACGACGACTGGTCTTTGTGCATGCGTAAAATCCACCTGCTTGCAAGTCTCTGCACCTGTTCTACCTTAGCATTCAGAGTAACATAAGCAGGCATTATTGCTAGTATTTAAATCAAGTCAACATTAATGTTGTTTACAGCCTCTAGTTGGAGTGACATTAATGAACTGTATTGAGCTTCCTTGAATTTATCTGTTATTGTAAGATTTTAGGTAAAATCTTTTAGGTTAAACCAGTATTCATCCTAGTATGATTCAGAATTGTATTTGTTTTCTAGTCCTGCTTACAACATCTACTTGATTATTTTTTAAAGTGCACTTACATTAATTTTAAGGGAAGATAGTCCATTTTTGTATTAGCAGTAGATGATAAAGTAAACCTTTTAATCTCGAGTGTGACTGTATGTACTTCTTGAGGCTTTACTCCAAACATTTTACGCTTAATTGCATACAGAATTCTTAAGAGACTTGCATGTAGATAGTGGGATATGTTCAAGGAAACAGAAAAAGCCTGACCCCACCCCTGCCCTCAATCAAAAGTAGCTTATATAATTATTTTACTTGTTATTTTCTTCAACAAACAAGTGGCAGTTACACATTACTTATGAGGAACTAGAGGGGGAAGAAGAGCACGAGTTTCACTAAAGTTTAAAAGAATTGAAGAAAACTGTTGAACACTCATTTGCATTTCATTGAATAACAAAAGAATACTAGTAACAAAACACTACATTAATTTATTATATTCTTTATTAATATTTAAGCTCTGAATTTATTTTCTGCAATCCTGTATTTCACTCTAGATACTGGTTTTTGTTTTGAAGTAGACAGGGTCAGGGAAAATAATCATGAGAAATGTCATTGAGGAAAAAGGGTCCAAACTTTGATGTCCAATACCCATTGTATGGTATTGATGGGGAGAATTCATCAGTTTTATCTTTGGTAATCAGGTCATCTCTTTTTTTGAACTCTGTGTGTTTGATGAAGCAGTGATTTTATATATGGAGATAATTAGATTTTGGTCAGTTAGTGACTGGTTTAAAAGATTTTCCAAATAGAGCATTAAAACATTGTTTTCTTTTCCAGATATTGTGAACTATGCAACCATCACTTTGCATTCAAACCAAGTAAGCAAACAATTTTTATTATTGGAGGAGTCTTTGACTTTATAATATGAAAGATTATACAAGTAGCTTTTTTGTATTTTCTTTCTATCTTTTTAGGGAGTAGTTTGGCCATTTCTTTTTTGATAAGTGTTTGAAATCTTCCAGCCATTTCTGTGTTCTCTAACTCTCCATTGTTAAATAGAGCTCATAACTGTCCCATGTATGTTGCCATTTATCCAATAATAATATTAATAATTTCTTATGTATTTTTTCCATGAATGCTATTTTAAAGTCTATGCACCAGATATGCCAAACAGACTTCCTGTCAGCGACTTTGTTGGTGGGTTAGTAAAAAATATTCTCAGAGCTCTGAAGTATTGGTTTCATTACACACTGGTTGCCCTGGCGTGGCTTGGAGTGGTACCCATTACAGCATGTGAGTGTAGAGTTCTTTTAAATATCATTTCATTGTTATTGTCTAGAGGGGCATGGTGTAGTGGAACCTCAACGTAACAAATCTCCATGTAACAAAGTCATCAATACAACAAACAATTTTCTTTATCCCAGTAATAGTAAAATGTATAAAAGTGAAACTCAATATAATGAAACCTCATTGCAGCGAACAAATTTTGTCAGTCTTTTGGCCCTTCATTATATCGAGTCTCTACTGTGGTCTGGTCTCTATTGTTTACTATTGCCAATTAATCACCTTTACTCATTATGGGACTTAATGTTAGCCAAGTATCATAGCTTCCTGACAAACAAAATAATGTTTTCCCAAGTATTGTTATTAAGATTGAAAAACAACCAAATCAACTTTGAAAAACTATTTAGCTGAACAGTTTTTAAAAACCCTAATGAAAATTTAATATTTAATAATGTTTAATCTGATATCACTCTTTTCGCTGTATTTTAGATCGTATATACAGATGTCTTTTTGCCGGATCTGTCAATTCACTTCTTACTCTACCTCTAGACATGCTATCAACGTAAGTAGTTTGATGAGTTTATGTTACTGAACTCTCTCTTGAAAGAAATTACGCCAAATTACCAGCTATTTTTTGTGCTGCATTCCTTCACACATGGCTCCCTCAAGAGACTGGACATTTTAACTTAAAAGGGAATAGGTTACAGTGCTCTTTACTTTTATAAATTGCATTTTTAAAAAACTGCAAAGCATTGGCCTATTAGAGATGTAATCATGGCCATCTAACAAACAAGGATGATTCAAAAACATGTTGGGAATACCTCCAGTAGCAATAATAGTTTAGTTTCCCCAACAAGGTCGAAAGTCACTGAGTTTAACGCAACAGGTTTAATTCACTCCTGCATAACAATCACATAAAAGATTCAAAAACCTGAATCACAGTTGATTGCGCTCACATGTACGAGTTACTTGCAATCAAAATCTCAACTATGTAAATGTTGTATTGGTAATTATTAATCTCAGGTAATCTTTATTTTTCCTTTGTTTCAACTTCATTAGCATACATGTACATTACCATACCCAACACAAAAGGAAAACAAAAATTACCTGACATGAAAACTTAACTACAACATATACACTCGGACCTAGTCTCCAACAAACATACTGTCCTTTAATAGTATGAAGTTTAACTTGAAAATATAGTCAGGAAGTTGCTTTCTAAACTCCAGTCGCATGCAGTATATTAGATTTTCATGTACTTGAGATAGTGCAAATTGTTTCAAAATGCATCTTGGCCTCCACGTGTTGATTTGAGTTCAGAACGTTAGTGTTTACCTGAAACTTATGTATCCTTTACATTTCTTTGGCAGTGAAAATTTATTTGCCGACTGTATACGAGGCTGTTTTGTGGTGGCCTGTACATTATGTGCATTCATCAGCTTGGTGTGGTTGCGAGAACAGATTGTAATGAATGGAGGTCCTGATTGGCTTGAACCCAATGTTGTGGATCCTGTTCCTCAAGTTCAGGGAGTGAGTTGATATTTTCATCTTTTTGTATTTGCATATAGCATGGTGGAAAAAAAAAGTGTGAGAATATTTCTTGGAACAAGTCATAATCAAAACAGCTAGCTACATGATAAGGACAAAATTATGTTTTAATTTTGGGGAAAAATGTTCAAATTATTTTTAACCTTGCAGGTGTGTAAATTGTATAGTCAGGTAACAGTATTCTCAAATCCTTGATGATTCTTGAAGAGAAAACAGGCAATAAGTACTGTGAAGGATGCCAGTTACCATCAAATTTTTGCAAACTTTATGTTGAATTCATTTATTCAACAATAAGTTAGCCTGCATCACACCCGCAGTCGGTTAGTAACATCTGCAAAGCAGTGCCAAGATCCTTGGTCTTGACCCTCAATGGGCTCAATGAATTGAGAGAAGCTCGTTTATAATAATTCTCTTGGACCTGATTGGCCAATCAAACAATAGCTTTTTAACAGGTCAGCCAGGGTGTGTACTCAAATCCTGGTAAATAGCTGGCAGCCCAGAAAAAGGATTTTGGCACTGACTTGTAGACAGACTTAATGAGAGGTTTAGTTTCATTTTTGGCACATGCTAACAGTGTACATTTGAGAGGCTAGAAAGCAAATGCTTGATGCAACATTTCATTCAATTACATTCAAACATCTTGTCACAAACTCAAACCATTCTCAGTCATTTTAACCCACTTCTATGTGACTGGTTAATGGATAAAAACATTGTACCGTGTGTATTCCAGGTCAACAATGATGGTGGCCCGGGTGGTGGTGGTGAAGTTGCAGCTGAAGGGGATGTGGGGGAAGAAGATGCTAACAATGCAGGAGAGAATGTTGGTGAGGAAGGAAACAATGCTGCTAATCAAGATGCTGAGAATGGAGCTCAGAATGGAGATGGTTAGTATTAATAATTAATAATTATAATTATTAGTATAGGTAATAGCATGATTAGTAGTTATATTTGGCATAAATACCACAAGTGATATTTCAAAAATCATTATACGTAATTTCATGAGCTGTTAGGGGAGTGAAATTTGAGGCAATTTTGAAATATCACGAGTGGTATTTATGCCATTTATATTTATTTGCTAATGATTTTAGAGAATGTACATCCACATGGTGATTCTTCGTCTACACGGTCAAATTGGAATTTGGAAATGTTGGTTTTTGAGGAGGGAGAAAACCAGAGTACCCAGAGAAAAACCTCTCAACAACAAACTCGACCCACATATGGCGTCAATAATGGGTTTTGAACGAGGGCCATATTGGTGACAGGCAAGTAATCTCACCAGCTCTCACCACCTTGCCTCCCTCGCCCCATGCTCTTTTTCTCTAACTTGAGAATTTTGAAGTTTAAAAGTTTCATTTCTATTGCAGATGATGGAAATTGGATTCATCCTGTTGAATGGGAAAGAGCAGCAGAAGAGCTCACATGGGAAAGGGTGAGGATTTTTTATGTTAAACCAGTAACCCGATCAAGCTCCCATATGCAGTTGCTCAAACATAACTTGACTGTATATAATGGGAAACCAAGTGTCTAATCCACTGGATAGAGATTTATCCATTGGACAGTGCTATCTACCTTTTGAACAACAGGGTGCAGGTTAACTACTAAGCCTGTCAACTAGAAATTATTAGTAAACCGATTTACACAGGGAAGAGAGCTTTCAAGTCATACCAGAATGAGTAAGATTCAGTCCAACAGTCAGAGAAAAATGCTTTTAAACCATACAAAGTTGACTAGAAAATTCATTGAAAACCTTGCTCAACCATTATACTTCTTAGGATAGTTTCACTAACCATTGCGGTTTTCACTGAAACCATTCCTACTGAAATGAAGCCTAGTGAATGCCCAGCAAAGAGTTGAAAATACATGGGGGTGAAGAAAAGCTTAAGACACTGGGACAAGAGGAAGCAAAACAGTCTAAATAAAGTAATGCATACTTTTTTCCTCAGATGCTTGGCTTGGATGGGTCTCTAGTATTTTTGGTAAGTTAGTATGCATGCTTACACCTCATTAACCAAGTAACATTGAATTATACCAAGGATTAAGTCTTGTATTTACTGACATGTTAAGTTAGTTTGAATCAGTTATACACTGTAAAATGATTTTTATTGAACCTTATAAAGGATGTATGAGTATGAAGTAATTGTCTTTTGCAGGAGCATGTGTTCTGGGTGGTATCTCTGAACACTTCATTCATTCTGGTGTTTGGTAAGTGTTTCTTCCAGTTCTTGTTGTGACTTTGGGGTTAAGGGTTGACATATTCAGATCCCTGGAAATTTTTTTCAGTTTCCTGATAATTTGCTATTTAAATTTGTACATGTTCTTTACTATGTGGATCTTAATAGCACATCATTAATTTACTCTGCAGCCTTCTGTCCCTTCCACATTGGTCAGTTCACAGTTATTCTTCTCTCTCTTGAAGAGGCGGTAAGCGCTTGATTAATTTTTTTCTTGTTCCTTGTGTCACTTTATGCCTCTTATATTATATTTGAATCATTCAAACACATCTTACTGTACATCTTGGGGGTGCATTTGAATGGCTGTGTTGTATGGCATCTTAGAGTCAGCTAAAATATTTTGTTTGCCATGCAAGGATTGGTAGCTAAATAATTGATAAAAATAATACTGTATGAATTTATTATTTATCTTATACACACTGTATACAGTCCCAGGGGGACTCTGCATATGAAAGGGGTGGGGATGCTCGTCGAAATTTTGAATTAAACCCCTAAAGGAGACCGATCTGGGCGGGGCCAAGATATTTTTGACCCCTAAAAGAGACCATGTTAACACACAGACAATATAGATATTTTTATATTTTTTCACGTGAAACCCTAAACGAGTCCTTCATGGCTAAATATAATGGCGTTTTGCCCAGAACACCCTAAGTGAGACCAAAATCCGAAATTTATACCCCTCAGGGAGACAACGAGCATCCCCACCCCTTTCATATGGGGAGTCCCCCCCCCCCCCCCCCAATGTATCCTTTACATTTCTTTGGCAGTGAAAATTTATTTGCCGACTGTATACGAGGCTGTTTTGTGGTGGCCTGTACATTATGTGCATTCATCAGCTTGGTGTGGTTGCGAGAACAGATTGTAATGAATGGAGGTCCTGATTGGCTTGAACCCAATGTTGTGGATCCTGTTCCTCAAGTTCAGGGAGTGAGTTGATATTTTCATCTTTTTGTATTTGCATATAGCATGGTGGAAAAAAAAAGTGTGAGAATATTTCTTGGAACAAGTCATAATCAAAACAGCTAGCTACATGATAAGGACAAAATTATGTTTTAATTTTGGGGAAAAATGTTCAAATTATTTTTAACCTTGCAGGTGTGTAAATTGTATAGTCAGGTAACAGTATTCTCAAATCCTTGATGATTCTTGAAGAGAAAACAGGCAATAAGTACTGTGAAGGATGCCAGTTACCATCAAATTTTTGCAAACTTTATGTTGAATTCATTTATTCAACAATAAGTTAGCCTGCATCACACCCGCAGTCGGTTAGTAACATCTGCAAAGCAGTGCCAAGATCCTTGGTCTTGACCCTCAATGGGCTCAATGAATTGAGAGAAGCTCGTTTATAATAATTCTCTTGGACCTGATTGGCCAATCAAACAATAGCTTTTTAACAGGTCAGCCAGGGTGTGTACTCAAATCCTGGTAAATAGCTGGCAGCCCAGAAAAAGGATTTTGGCACTGACTTGTAGACAGACTTAATGAGAGGTTTAGTTTCATTTTTGGCACATGCTAACAGTGTACATTTGAGAGGCTAGAAAGCAAATGCTTGATGCAACATTTCATTCAATTACATTCAAACATCTTGTCACAAACTCAAACCATTCTCAGTCATTTTAACCCACTTCTATGTGACTGGTTAATGGATAAAAACATTGTACCGTGTGTATTCCAGGTCAACAATGATGGTGGCCCGGGTGGTGGTGGTGAAGTTGCAGCTGAAGGGGATGTGGGGGAAGAAGATGCTAACAATGCAGGAGAGAATGTTGGTGAGGAAGGAAACAATGCTGCTAATCAAGATGCTGAGAATGGAGCTCAGAATGGAGATGGTTAGTATTAATAATTAATAATTATAATTATTAGTATAGGTAATAGCATGATTAGTAGTTATATTTGGCATAAATACCACAAGTGATATTTCAAAAATCATTATACGTAATTTCATGAGCTGTTAGGGGAGTGAAATTTGAGGCAATTTTGAAATATCACGAGTGGTATTTATGCCATTTATATTTATTTGCTAATGATTTTAGAGAATGTACATCCACATGGTGATTCTTCGTCTACACGGTCAAATTGGAATTTGGAAATGTTGGTTTTTGAGGAGGGAGAAAACCAGAGTACCCAGAGAAAAACCTCTCAACAACAAACTCGACCCACATATGGCGTCAATAATGGGTTTTGAACGAGGGCCATATTGGTGACAGGCAAGTAATCTCACCAGCTCTCACCACCTTGCCTCCCTCGCCCCATGCTCTTTTTCTCTAACTTGAGAATTTTGAAGTTTAAAAGTTTCATTTCTATTGCAGATGATGGAAATTGGATTCATCCTGTTGAATGGGAAAGAGCAGCAGAAGAGCTCACATGGGAAAAGGAGAAAAAAATGGGGTTTTTCCCACGACACCCCACATAAGACCACAAACCTAAATTTATCCCCCCCCCGGGGACAACCGGCACCCCCCCCCCCTTCTTAGGGGGGGCCCCCCCCCCCCCCCAACACCGGGTATACAGTCTAGAGTGGATCAAGAAATTAATGTAAACCGAGTGTATGATTTCCCTGTAAATGCAAAATGCTGTATAAAAATGCTCATAGTTTCATTTTGTTTATGGTCAGCTAAGAACTTGCTTTATTATGTTGTTAATTGATTTGTTATTTCCGACAGTTTCAGTCCTCTAAATTTGAAGGGCTTCTCACTGCTGTCTTGGGATACGTCATTCTTGCTTTTGTCCTTGTACTGTGTCATGTATCCTTCAGATCTGAATACTTGAATAACAAATGAATAATAATGCAGAAAATAATATCTGCCCTGTAAATTTCATTATATACCAGGTCATATGCATTGATCAGCAGAGTGCTCAATAGAAGAACTAGAGTGTTATACAAGTGTACAAATTATTGACGTGATCTGATCAATGGAAGATTGGACTTGGCATTTTGTCTTGATAAATATTATTATATGTATTACTAAGCAAGGTGCGGTAGTGTTATGAATATTTTTAATCATTTTAAAAATTGCTCTTTGAAAATGGTTATTATTACACTAATCATGTCTTTTAAATATTTACTTGTAACTGTGTGGAACATAGAGGAATGCACTCCTTACACAGATTGGAGTGAGATTGTATGGGACAACCGTCGTTGATCCAACAGATCTTAGGACAGGTATCTGGCATCCCACAGATTTTTTTGGCTGTGCCAAATGACATCACCACCATCTTGCAAAAAGGGAGAGATTGTGGGATTGAGATCGGTCAAATGCATTCTGTACTCTTTACATATTGTCAGTTATATTGGTATACTTGTCAGACATTTTTATTTCCCTTGACTGCTTCTTTACAGAGTGTAGCATCTCTTTGTGGATTAAGGAAGTATGAATCATTTTGTTTACTTTCTTTTCATTCATTGTGTTTCAAACTATAAATCTTGCTCCTTTCACAAAATATGTACCTTGTTGGTACTTAATTTCGAAAGTTTGGCCTGGCAGAATTTCGCGGGGATTTATTTTTGCAATTTAAATAAGAAAAATATGAAAAAAGGGCATTAAATTTCACGATTTACGCGTAAATTTCTAGATTACTTGCAACAAACAAAACAGAAATTTATTACCAATAAGGTAGCTTGGTTTTGACTTCTTACAGAGTCTAGACAGTGAGCTTTTTGTTTATTACAATATTTTTGAATGGTATGGTATTGGATTTGGCTTTCTTAATGATGAGACTGAAAGAGTTTTCGTATGGAGGAACCTTGACCCTTACATGAGTGTGTTGCCATCTAGTTCTCATAATGACAGTGTAATTTATACAATTCATTTACTGTGCACCTTTTCAAGGTTGATTTTTTCTTTCTCATCAGACCTAAAAGAATACTGGGATTATGTTATGTAGTGGTAAAAGTAAGTAATTTACTGTAATTATTGAGACACTACATTTTTGTGGTTTGTTTATTATGTTCTGTAAACCTATTATATCTTTAAACTTTCATAGAGTTCTAAAGTGACGACATCATAAAATCAAATTTCTGAAATTATGGCATTTGTCAGGATATTATGAAAGAACAATGTCCAAGAGGCCCACTTGCCAAAAATTAGCATTTTGGAGCAAATTTTTTCTGAGATCTTAGCCCAGTTATGCTCTGATAACTCTAAAACCCTTCTAAATTTTTGGGGGGTCCCCAAAATGCTAATTATTGACAAGTAGGCCTCTTGGATGTTGTTCTTTCAGAATATCCTGACAAATCCCATAATTTCAGAAATTTAATATATTTTTATGACGTCACACTTTAGAACTCTATTATCGTTCAACAGAGATGACAGTTTATGTGTCCACTGTCCAGTTTAACCTGAGTTACAACTAGCATGTCCAAAGTAAACTTTTGAAAAGAGGAATTTCTTTGTGAATGTTGGAAATGCCATGTGCATTCTATCACACGTCTGGATGGAATCCTTAAGAATTTCCAGCACAAATATAATGAAGTATTGAACTTTCTTTGTAGGTTTCATTGTTGATGTTGGTGGAAATTGGTTTGTTCCCATTGGTGTGTGGGTGGTGGCTAGATGTATGTTCCTTGGTAAGTTACAAGTTGCCCTCATTTGAATAAATCAAATAATCATCATCATGATCACTCATATGCATTTATTTTATTGCTTGAACCACTTGAAGTATGTACCATCAAAAATTTTTATTACAGTACATGTACCTCTCCATTCCTGCAGACATGCAATGATATTGGTCCTTGTTAATGAAATGATAATGTGTTTTGGTATATCATCCATGGAAAGTGCTGTGGATGCACCCTAGAGTTTATTTTTTGTGACACTACTTTATTGGTAGTGATAACCAACAAACTGTATAATCACAAAATATTAAATACACTGAAAACCCCGATATATCAAAGTACCAAGCAAATGAAAAAAAAGGTTGAATGAATGCCAAGGCTTTGACTTGTACTTTCTTGAAAGCTGAAGATATCAGTCACATTTTCTAGTTGTACATGCTTTTTGCACTGTGTTGACTGCAAGGGTTAAGCAAATGTCTTTTTTGTTGTTGTTTTCCAGTCCCTATTTGGAGCTACATTAAAGGACAGACTTGCAAGTGTTGACTCAGCACCAGGTAAAATAAGAAAACCATTTTCATCTGTTTAGGCGTGTAATAAATACATTTCTCTTCGGTATGACTCTGACTCTTTTAATGTACAAACTGTTTCTGCCACAACTCTGCCCATGATGAAGGCAGAAATTTCTTAGGATATTATTCGAATAGTGCCTCAAACTAGCTGAAATTGATTGTACTGTTAACAAAATAAAGGATTAAAGTCCATGTCGGTACAAAGAAGTGACCGAACAACCATACCAGATGCACAAGATGAAACGTAGTAAACATGACGAAGATTCTCTCCATAAGTCTGGACCACAGGACACCAAGAAGAAAAATCTCAATGACCCTGACTTTCACCCAGTCCAGGAGGTGAGCCATTTCTCTGATCTGTAATCAAATACAACACAACTTTATCGTGTCCTTATTCTGCAAATAAAAAGAAATTGTTGTATTCCTACTGTCAAATATGAAAGAAACCTGATAAAGTTCTAGTTTGCCATGTAATGCTTAAGATTTCCTTTCAAGGTAATTGACTGAGCATCTCAGCAATAGGGTTTAACAATAAGACAAGACAAAGATGAATGATATATCATAGATAATTATCATTAGTTAATGATCCTCAAATTTTGTGTGAAAGCTACAAAAGATTCACATTAGCCAATAAAAGTGTCCTTGTGAGCTTGTATGCAATGAATTAAGCATGGCAGGATTAAAATCCGCATTCCTGCTCTTCATGATTATCATTATAAGAATTTTTGTTGTATTTGTAGATGATACGTCTTCCAGTTTACAGACATTTAAGGAGATTCTTGCTTTCTTTGGTAAGTGATTTGGTTCAATTTTACTTGAGGCTTTCCAAGGGATTTTTTTAAAGATGATTTTCCTCAGTTTTTTTCTGGGCTACCCTGGGTGCCAGAGACTTTTCTAGCACAGTTTCCGGTTTCTGTCAAGTCATTATAGTGACCCTACGGCCAAAGATGTGTCGGCCTTCGGCCAACACTGAAAATTCCCGCCGCGCGCGAGAAAAACCTCTGGTACCCAGGGTATTTCTGGGCCAGCAACAATCACAATTATCTCCTGCACTTGCCATCTTTCACATTGAAAGGAGATGAAGATTGGGTCGAGTAGAAAGTATAATCTATTAACAGATTGGGCCTTATGCAAAAAGACAAATAATAGGGAAGGGGAAGGAGGGGGAAATATGTTGTTGTCTGTGTTTTCTGCCCCACCTTCTGTGAATCACAGCAGAACCTCCATAGACTGCGAGTCATCATCCTCCTTTCTAAGAGCTACTCACCACAAACAAGAAAAGTAAAATTATGCAAAAAACCTTGTTCCTCGCAGCTTCGCCACTCGTGCCTTACAAATGTGTGATCTTGATCTACTGTGACGCAAAAGAAAAATAAGAGACTGTTCTCAGGCTAAGGAGCATCACAAAGCTCTCTGAACAGGTTGTTTAATTAAATGATAAAACAGTAAGTAGGTGAATGACCTGAGAAAATAATGTCTTTATTCCTAGAAATAATAGCAGGCTAATGAAAAGAGAGGCCTCTGAGAGCTTTGTGGCTCCAGGACTTACATGTGAATCACGTCTTATTTTTGGTAGTGAATTCTTTTTTTTCACTCTCCCCCCTCCCTACACTATAGGGTAAGTTTGTTGTCTTCTGCTTAATCTGGTTCCTTAGTTGTATTTCTGTTTATTTGTCAGGTTGTATTTGGCACTACTGTTCTACTGATGATGCACCTTCCTGTCAGACTCATCAAGTGGCTGTTACCAACCTTTCTTCCTTACAACATTCAGTTGTCTAGGTCAGTTAGTACACTTTATGCCCCAAGATCCACATACAAATTCTCCTGTCTGATCTCCATACATTTCCTTAAATAATTAGTTGGGAGAATTTGATAAAAGATCAAAGCATTGTGCCTTTGGTGATCATAACCTTTTGTATTTCAAGTATGCATTGGTACTGTTAGGAAAACATTGATGTCGATCACTCTTGCACAGTCCCTGTTTCGTTTACCTTTAAGTTGACAGCATCTTCTTTGGCGCCCCTCCCCTCCCCTCCCCTCCTTTGACTCAGCGGAAGCTTGTGCTCTTACATGTACATTCAGTGGTACAAAGGTTTGTTTGGTTGGTTTGTTTGTTTTTCTTTTTGGCAGTACACTGGCAGTAACCAGCCTTCTGTTTTCTTGTAGTGAGGTCCCAGTCAGCGAGCTCTCACTTGAGTTGCTCCTTCTTCAAGTGGTTTTGCCGGCGTTGTTGGAGCAGGGCCACACTCGACAGTGGCTGAAAAATGTTATGCATGGCTGGGCAGTAACAGCTGCGTATCTGCTGTAAGTTTCAAACTATCTGCTTTATTTGAGCAGTATTGTCTCCTTTATTAAAACTAGTTTGTTCTGGGCATTCACATAATGAATGCCCGGAACAGGCAATATTATTACAAGCGTTTCCGTTTTGTCCGCGTGAGCATTAAGACTTGGAAAACTGATGGTTGACAAGACTGCTGCCCGATTAATATCCAAAAAAAGAATTGTTTTATTTCCTAATTTCAGGTACAGCCATGTTTCTTCACTGGCTTGTTGGTATGGTCTACGTGTTCTACTTTGCATCATTTGTACTGCTTCTAAGAGAGGTATTCAGACCTGGTGTCCTGTGGTTCTTAAAAAATCTCAATGACCCTGACTTTCACCCAGTCCAGGAGGTGAGCCATTTCTCTGATCTGTAATCAAATAAAACACAACTTTATCGTGTCCTTATTTTGCAAATAAAAAGAAATTGTTGTATTCCTACTGTCAAATATGAAGGAAACCTGATAAAGTTCTAGTTTGCCATGTAATGCTTAAGATTTCCTTTCAAGGTAATTGACTGAGCATCTCAGCAATAGGGTTTAACAATAAGACAAGACAAAGATGAATTATATATCATAGATAATCATCATTAGTTAATGATCCTTAAATTTTGTGTGAAAGCTACAAAAGATTCACATTAGCCAATAAAAGTGTCCTTGTGTGCTCGTATGCAATGTAATACCGTAAGCGTGGCAGGATTAAAATCCGCGTTCCTGCTCTTCATGATTATCATTCTGAGAATTTTTGTTGTATTTATAGATGATACGTCTTCCAGTTTACAGACATTTAAGGAGATTCTTGCTTTCTCTGGTAAGTGTGTTCGTTCAATTTTACTTGAGCCTTCCCAAGGGATTTTTTTCAAGATGATATTCCTCAGTTTTTTTTTCTGGGCCAGCAACAATCACAATTATCTCCTGCAGTTGCCGTCTTTGATATTGAAAGGAGATGAAGATTGGGCCGAGTAGAAAATGTATTCTATTAATGGTTGGGCCTTATGCAAAAAGACAAATAATAGGGAAGGGGGAGGAGGGGGAAATATGTTGTTGCCTGTGTTTTCTGCCCCTGCCTTCTGCCCAACCTTCTGTGACTGTCACAGCAGCATCTATACAGACTTTGAGTTGTCGTCCTCCTTCCTAGGAGCTACTCATGGCAAGCAAAAAAAGTAAAATTATGTGAAAAACCTTGTTCCTCGCAGCTTCTCACTCGTGCCTCACACATGTGTGGTCTTGATCTACTGTGATGCAAAAGAAAAATAAGAGACTGCTCACAGGCTAAGGAGCATCACAAAGCTCTCTGAACAGGTTGTTTAATTAAATGATAAAACAATAAGTAGGTGAATGACCTGAGAAATGTCTTTATCCCTAGAAATAATAGCAGGCTAATGAAAAGAGAGGCCTCTGAGAGCTTTGTGGCTCCAGGACTTACATTTAAATCACGTCTTATTTTTGGTAGTGAATTCTTTTTTTTTCACTCTCCCCCCTCCCTACACTATAGGGTAAGTTTGTTATCTCCAGCTTAATCTGGTTCCTTAGTTCTATTTCTGTTGATTTATCAGGTTGTATTTGGCACTACTGTTCTACTGATGATGCATCTTCCTGTCAGACTCATCAAGTGGTTGTTACCAACCTTTCTTCCTTACAACATTCAGTTGTCTAGGTCAGTTAGTACAGTTTATGCCCCAGTATCCACATACAAATTCTCCTGACTGATCTCCATACATTTCCTTAAGGAATTAGTTGGGAGAATTTGATAAAAGATCAAAGCATTGTGCCTTTGGTGATCATTTTATTAATTCTCATAACCTTTTGTATTTCAAGTATGCATTGGTACTGTTTGGAAAACATTGATGTCGATCACTCTTGCACAGTCCCTGTTTCGTTTACCTTTAAGTTGACAACATCTTCTTTGGCGCCCCGCCCCTCCCCTCCCCTCCTTTGACTTAGCGGAAACTTGTGCTCTTACATGTACATTCAGTGGTACAATGGTTTGTTTTGTTCGTTTGTTTGTTTTTCTTTTTGGCAGTACACTGGCAGTGAACCAGCCTTTTGTTTTTCTTGTAGCGAGGTCCCAGTCAGCGAGCTTTCACTTGAGTTGCTTCTCCTTCAAGTGGTGTTGCCGGCGTTGTTGGAGCAGGGCCACACTCGACAGTGGCTGAAAAATGTTATGCATGGCTGGGCAGTAACAGCTGCATATCTGCTGTAAGTTTCAAACTGTCCGCTATATTTGAGTAGTATTGTCTCCTTTATTAAAACTAGTTTGTTCACACAATGAATGCCCGGAACAGGCAATATTATTACAAGCGTTTCCGTTTTGTCCGCGTGAGCATTAAGACTTGGAAAACTGATGGTTGACAAGACTGCTGCCCGATTAATATCCAAAAAAAGACAAAAAAAGAGAGGCTTCACGTACCTTTTCACATACACATACGTATTTCTTTATTTATTGTTTGTTTGTTGTTTGCAGAAACCTGCGATCATATCTTCTGGGAGATGTGCCTTTGGATGGTGCAGAAAATGTAAGTTGATCATTTGATTCCTTTAGTTGCCTCCAAAGCCACTGAAATAATACCAGCTATTGAGCCTCCTCTACACAATTTTCAGAACCAATCATGTATTGTCTTGTTCTCTTGTAAAGACTGAAGTGAAAATAGTTTCTAGAACTCTCTCTCTCTCAAGAAAAGAGAGCAAACTCGGGGAGCGCATTGTTTCCAAGGTAGCCTTTCTTAGTGTTGTCACGCAACGCTCCTGCCCACGGGCCTTTTGTGGGGAGGAGCGTTGCGTTACGACAGCGTGACAGAACAGCTGGGTAAGAGAGTAGGGAGCTCAAGGAAAATGCGCTTCTCGGGAGGAAGTTGAACGCGTGTGGTGTTGCGTCTCCTCGTGGGAGCCAATTTCCCGTACACTCGCGTGTTTAGCTCGCTGTACTCTCTGAGAAAACCAAATAGTCTGTTTTGATTTTAAAATGTCTCACGAACTTGTTGCTTTTAGGTGTATGGTCTGCATTTGAGCAATCGTACCAACCAACGGAACCAACAGAATGTCAACAATGTCCAGCAAGGTGATGCTGCTGGACAGAATGCAGTACAGGCTCAACCTATACTGCATGGTAATCCTGCGGCCGGTGAAGCGGGAGGAGCAGCTACTCTTGGTTTTCAACCATACATCAGACCACCGATGTTCACTGTTAAGGTATTTTATTATAAAACTTCGTCACCCTGTTGATGACAGCAGGGAGCTTAAGCAACGACGACGGCGACGGCGACAAGAACGACAAAAAAGTTACAGGTTTATATTAGCAAAACAACAACTTTGCACGTGCATCACGCTTTTTTGTACATTGCTTTGCCGTCGTTGCACGACTACAACGTGAAAGTGCCTCATTTCACGTTTTGTAAAAGACAAGAACTTTCTCTTTCTTTTCCTGAACTTTGATACAGTCCTTAGAACTCAACTCCAAAAAAATATTTCCAGCATTTGACGAATTAAACAAGATGGAATAAGCGCAATAAAGTTTGAGGCAGCGCGAATTCACTTTTTAAGTGACGTTTTCGTAGCCCTGGCCGTCGTTGTTGCTTAAGCTCCCTAGCATCTTTAAAATGTGATTGTGTGGCCGTGTGCTTCTAAAAGGAATATTTTGTTATGGCATACGGGGGATAATAGGGTTATAGTTTAGTTGCTCACAAGTTGACTTTTTTGAGCGAGGAAAGTCTCGATGGTAAAAAATTAAGTGATTTTGTTATTAACTATGTTATCGATTGCTGTGCTTAGCATTGTTTAGCCAAAAAATCTCATGAAACATCGTCTGTTCCAGTCTGAAGTGTAAAAGAGTTAAACTGCGACTTATTCACTCGCGCTTAACGTTGGCTCGAAACGTGAATAAGTTATTGGATTGTCTGTCTCTCTTGTGACTGAAGGAGTTAGTTTATAAAGAAACTGGGGGGCTTCGTCAAAAGCTTACCGTGATTAAACGTGAACGGGATGTGGACGCAACTGAACTGCTATAAGTCTTTCATACTAACAATCAACCTCTCTAACCTAAAAGTTTGTAAAAATTCCTCGCCATATTACCCCCAACCCTAAAGCCCATCTTCACACTGGGGCCAGTCTCCCTCACAACCGCGCGGGCCGGAGTCACGTAATGCTCCCCGCCCCCAAGGCGTTGGGGCGGGGCGTGACTCCTGTCCGAGCGGCTGCGACGGAGACGAGGGCCTCCCGTGCCCAGTTTACAGGATCCACAGTTTTTCACGGACACGGCAAACGTCAGATTCAAGCTGAGAAATTCTTAAAATAGAAAATGAGTAGATAAAAACAGTCCAAAGTAATTCTTATGGATAAAACTCGCGTGAAACTATTAATAGATGTAATGAACAGTAAACGACAGGTAAAGGGAAAATGTGGTCACGTGGTACAAATTCACGTTTGCCGTAAAAGTGACTCTAGTTTTGTTTTGTTCATAGTGGTTTGACGGGCTACCTAACCCGAAACAATGATGAGCGGGTATTGAATTAGGACTTATTTTCTTTTAGATTCTGCTGCTTGTTGTGTTCATGTGTCTATCACTCTCTTTTGCAAGTTTTGTGACTTTGACTGGACCTGGTAAGTTTACAACTCGTTCATTATTTTTTTAGGTTTCAAAAGAACAAAGGGGCGTCGCCTCGTAAATCCTCATGTAAAACACAGGTTCAAACACAGTTTGAACTACAGTTTGAAACTTAGATTTTTGGCAGTCTTACGTAGGCGTGTAATGTTAAAGTCTGAGCCACCTTGAACAGTATCAACCAATGTGAAACATAGACCAGTGAACCTGTAAATAGCCTCTTAAGATCAAACTTAATCACAGCATTCAATGTTAACATGTGCTGCTTCTTGTTATTTTTTTTATTTCAGTTTTTATTGGTCGCAGTGTAATGCTGCTATGGATGGGCGACGCGTCTGTTCATGAGCTGTACACTGCTGCCTGTGGTCTCTACTTTATATGGCTTGTTTGTCGAATTGGAAGTGTGCTTCTTTCCTGGGTACCTCTAGGCTGGAAGGGTGTGGCAGGCAAAGTCTTTGAGTGGGTTCTTTTGGTAAGTACTCTGAGAAAAGTTCAGTACCAAACTTTCAATAAAGGTTATTACTTTCGAATTCTAGATCAGAAACAAAAGATGGGTGTTTAAAATTTTTCCCCGATTTTCTCCCATTACGTTTTCCAGCGTTTGTCACCGGGCACACTTTTCTTGGCGTCTGGCACCCTTAACACTTTTTCTGCACTCTGCATCAGTTACACATTTCTCGCGATGGGTACCACTTCAGTTGCACCATTTTTCTGTTTTCCCGCTCATGGTGACAATAACACTTTTTCTCGCGCTTGACAGTTACGCTTTTTCCCGCGCTAATTGACAATTTTACTTTTTCCGCGCTGGGTTACAGTTACACTTTTTCTCGCGCTGATTGACTTTTCCCCGTACTGGGTAACTGTTGTACGATTGGTATGTATCCGTGAGTCACTGAAGTAATTTAAAATTGCGATAATTATCAAGTTTAAAAATGGTTTGTTTTTGCATTTTCGCAGGGACTGAAGTGCGTAATCGTAGCCCTTGCACTTATCGGACTAGTACCTTTACTTCTCGGATTACTGTTTGAGCTCGTTGTGGTAGCACCTCTCCGAGTCCCTCTTGATCAAACCCCTTTGTTCTTCCCGTGGCAGGTGAGGATCCGGTCATGTGTTTTTAGGCCCCAGTTTCCGCTTTGTCGAATCAATTATCTCTTTTTGTTTTCACAGGACTGGGCTCTGGGCGTGCTCCATATGAAGATCATATGTGCGGTGACCATGATGGGACCGAACTGGTGGCTCAAGAGAAATCTGGAACAGGTACCACATGTCTGGGCCGCTTTACAGTGTACCTTTGTTTTAACGGTTTTAATGTCATTGTTTTCTCTGTTGCGTGTCTAGTCTCTGCGCCATTGTTAATCAGGCCTTTGTGAGCTTATACTGGATGATTTCTCGCCCAGATGAATGCCCGTCTATCTAACTCAAGACCGTTGCGAACGCGCAGGACAGGCCTAAAATATGAGTCATATCCTCGCTTTTTTCTCGCCACAGCCAGAACACAAATGTGGACGTTTTATAGTCGACTCAAAGTGATTCCTGGGAATCCCAATAAGCTCTTTTCCGTCAAAAGCTGACATATTTTATGATCTTCTCATTAACTTATAACTTCGCAATAGTTTTACTCTGCATAGCAGATAAGAAAGCAGTGGACACATAAGTAGGGTGATTTCGCAAAAGGTTTTTCTTTTTTGTTGTGTCACTTTGTATTGTTTGATTTGTCTTAGGCTTATCAAGACGGCGTTAGAAATATCAACGTCATGTTCATCTTTCGTCATGTGACCTTACCTGTTGTAACTTGTCTGTTATTGGCTGTTACGGTCCCTTACGTCATCGCCGCAGGAGTGGTTCCTCTCATTGGTAAGTACGAATGAAACTTCGTTTTCATGTCCGGGGCCAGGTTGCTCAAAAACAGGATTCAGGGCTCGAAGTTAACTTCTTAGTGCACTTGCAAAGTTTTGCTGGTACGATTTTTTTCCACTAGCAAACTGGTGGGACTACTGGCAAATTCTTTCCCTTAGTTTGGGAGACATGGATGATTCTACCTCGCAAACGTTTGCTAGTGGACATTTTTTTCACTCGCAGATTACCGAAATCACTCGCATTTTGCGAGTTTGCCAGCGTTAATTTCGAGCCCTGCGGATTAAAATGGGCCATTTGCACGATGGTGTCACTTTACTACTAAGACCAAAATCCTTTTCGTTTTTCCTGTCATATTTAAATTTGGTAATCCAAGCGAGGTTAACAAAAGCCCCATTTTGCACAAGAAAGAAAAACTCTGAAGGATTCTGGTCGTAGTAGTAAATGACATCATCGTGCAAATGGCCTTTAAAAGTCAATTCAGTTTAATTCTTTTTGTCTACAATTTGATGATGGACGGTCTAAAAACAACAGAGGAAATTATCTGAGAAAATGCTTTTCAACAATAGAAAAATAAACCCAGATTTAAAATTTTACCTTGGTAAGCGCTGATCGGCCTTCGAAAAACTGGGCCCAGTATTTTTGAAAACTCAACTTGATAGTGACGCTTAGTGGTGGCTACAAAACATTTCTTTGATTTCTGATTGGTTCATTTGATTATCCCGGTCTGTGTGATTGGCCAAAGTATCTCTACCTCTCTATTGAACTGTTGCTATTGTATTTCAGTGCGATCACCAGAGACTTCGCTGTTCTGTCTTCGTCGCATTTACCCCTTCCTGTTGGCCATGGTTATCCTTATTGCAGGGTTTATCTTCCAAGGACGGCAATTTCGACTTCTGTACGAACGCATCAAAAACGAAAGGTAAGTCTTAAAGGCTAAAATAAAGGCTAGTGCGTGAAAGACTATTCGTAAAACTCAGTACAATAGTTATGAGGATTATTTCCAAGTCTTTCGAGGTTTCAGCAAGAGGTAAGTCTTTATCACGTTTGTGAAATTTCAGTTTTACCGGAGTGTTTCTCTGCAGGTTGTTTCATTTTGTTTTTTGTGAAAAATAGATTTAAGTCCCCCAAAAGGCGCTTCTTTCCTGCTTACTTTATTTATACTCGCTCCTACGCCATGTGAGAAACTTTGGTGAAAATACACGTAAAGCAAAAACCATGCTATGCAATGGAGTTCTGGGAACAAACAAAAACTAAAGTTCTTCAATATTCCATTTGTTGTTATGTTTAGACGTATTCCTTCCTTGGATTATATCCTTTAGGGAATGACTTGGGAATATTTTGTTGCAATAAGTTCTTTTAATATAGATTATTTCCGAGTTCCAAATAAAACTCGCTTTCAAAGTGAAGTCAATGGCAAAACCCTTCATGTTAAAAAGAGAATTAACAGTTAAACAATAAAGAGGAAGTTCGTACCGTAGCTAATGACACTTCGAGCAAGTCAGAAATGGCTTTAATGATGAATAATAATCCAGTTTGGAGTATACTTTAATCAAATCGTTAAAAAATACTCTGCAAAAGGTATGATTATCAGCAGAGTCCTTTATGTCATTCGGTTTATGACGTCTTCTTTACCCGTGATCCGCCATTTTGAATACCTGTCTTGAATGCCTTAACCTGAGATCAGGCCCAATTTTAGCGTTCTCATACATTCTCTCTAACGGCTCGCCGGAATGTAATTTTCAAAGCGCAACGAAAATAGAGTCTGATCTCAGGTTATGAATGCCTTAAAGCACTTTTAGTTAAAGAAATATCTGTTTGGGTTAAATTTCAGATATCTAGTCGGCCAGAAACTAATGAATTATGAGCATGGTAAACGAATAGCCAAGCCTGCTCCTAGAAGTCCAGTCGAAGCCGAATGAATATTTGAGGACCTCTGAAATGTTACATGGATCGTGACTCGCCTCAGACTACAGTGGTCGTCGCATAGTTTTTCTATCCAGTAATTAGCGGGTATTTACTGGTTAGAAATATTGCTTGTCACACAAGCCACCCTGAACCAACATTAACGGGTTCAAATGAAGTAGACGTCGCTAGTAAGGAGCCAACGTCTTGTAGTCGAGACGTCATGTGGAAAAGGTTAGCGTTAAGGAACGTTGCGTTACATGCGCTCTCAAATTTATTGATAAATCTTGGAAGAGAAAACCACGGAATTTCTGGACAAGTCATAGATATGCTTTCCTAGTAACTGCAATAGATTTAAATTTCTCCAAGAATTATCAGTAGCTTAAGAAGATGCAGTCAGCCCTCTCTTTAACGGGTATCTTAGCGGACCTGCACCTGCACCTGTGCTTCTTATTCCCCACTTCAGAAACTATAAAGACGAATTGCGTATGAGCTTTCGGTGCAGCGATCTCTGGGATCGCTTGAGTGGACAAACGTTACTTATGATTGGGTGAAGGTTGCCTTGAATATGATCGACCAATCATAACAGACGCTTGTCCACCCCAACCATCCCAGAAATCACCGCAGCCAAACTTTCAACTCATTCTCTCTAGAGATTTTGAAGTGAGCCGAATAGAGGTGTACGCAGATTTCGCAAAGACAGCGTAACAATGACGACAGGACGCAGAGAACGACTTGACCAATGATAGAGCGGCAAATTGAGAACCGGAAGTCACGTTCAGCCCTTTACCCTCGCTTTCGCGTTAGCGTCCACGGTTGACGTTGCATTGTCTGTGCTAAATCTGCCTATTTTGAATCATTAGAGGCAGGTTCTAGGGACGAGTTCATCTCCTAGAGGTGGCCGTTAAGAGAGAGTTGAATGTGTATGCAACACTTACGAAGGAATTTCGTCTGGTACCCGGTAGTGGCCTGCAAACAACAGGCTCTATTTTCTTTTCGCTCGGCCACTTAAGGTGACGTAAGAAAGCGGCAAAAATTTGGCCGACAGAGAACTCGCGATTTTTCAGTGTGTGCATATCCTGATGTAATAAATTCTTCTGTTTGATGTGGTAGCTAAACGACTGCAAAAACATCTGGAACTACTTTACATGAAATTGTAGCCTGCGTAGCAAGCGTTTATGTTTGGTTTCAGAGCGAAGAAGGATCGAGGAACGGGATTTTTGTTCCTCGTTCTTTGCTCCGAAACCGCACGGAAACGCTTGCCACGCAGGCTAATGAAATTGTAGAAAAAATTACAGAAAATATCGAATAAACTAGATTCACCTCGAGATTAGAGTAAACTTTAGGGGGATACGAGCGATCATAGTGCAGCACCTTATACCACGGACAAGTCTCTTTTTGTGGGTTTTTACTCTTTAATGCGTGAAACGCAAATTTTGTAGCAATTGTCTTATTTATTTGAATGTTCGTTTTCTTTAAGGGGTGTAATTAATGACTTGAAAAATCTCATAGAAATTAAATTCATAACACAGCAAAACAGTTATGTGGACGTTTCCTGTAACCAACAACAACAACAACAACATCTTTATTTCTTACATTAAATATACAAATATCACACCACCTGCAAATAGCAAGGCTAATCAAGGGAGGTGGTGTGTAGACGGCTTAAGATTTATTACGAATAGTTGAAGTGAAAAAGTACAAATTTTCACAGAGCTACAAAAGTTGCGTCGGCACTGTACGCACACATGCGCACACATCATGTTAAACGTTACAGTGGAAAAGGCTATCAATGAATGTGAAATTTGTCCTAAGGCTTATCATTGATGTAATGTCTTTGTTGCTTACGTTGTTTGAATGTAGTGCTCATTTATTATTGTTTTCCCGTGCTTGGTACTGGACGTTTATCGTGCGTGTTCTTATGGTCTGAAAGAGAGAGACCTGGAAACGAGGTCGGCGCGCCCGTGACTGACCTCTCGACGTCGTTTCCTGTAGCTTAATCTCGTACCCAGATCTCCCACGGCCAGTGTAAAATAGAGTGAGATCTGGGTACGAGATTACTGTAGCTATGCAATATTATTAGAATAAAATAAAGTGTATACATAAGAAAAAAGATTCAACTCTCACAGGATTAGTTTGGGACACCAACATGGCCTCCGTTATGTTAGTTTGGGACACCCGTGGTGGACGTGAGGTAACAGTGACACCATGTAGTTTTATTATTGGGTGACCTGTGGTGTTCTTTATCTAGTTTTCAAAATCTAACAAAACAATTTAGATTGTTTGGTTTTATGTGAAGAATGTACAGTGAAATTGTAAATACAAGTTATTTACTTGAATTCGAATTTCTACTGCTGTAACAAATCTTGTAGGATAAAATATTATTAAATCATTCTTATCTCGCCACAAAATGAAGTTGTGATTCAGTTTAATTAACCGTATNAAAATAGAGTGAGATCTGGGTACGAGATTACTGTAGCTATGCAATATTATTAGAATAAAATAAAGTGTATACATAAGAAAAAAGATTCAACTCTCACAGGATTAGTTTGGGACACCAACATGGCCTCCGTTATGTTAGTTTGGGACACCCGTGGTGGACGTGAGGTAACAGTGACACCATGTAGTTTTATTATTGGGTGACCTGTGGTGTTCTTTATCTAGTTTTCAAAATCTAACAAAACAATTTAGATTGTTTGGTTTTATGTGAAGAATGTACAGTGAAATTGTAAATACAAGTTATTTACTTGAATTCGAATTTCTACTGCTGTAACAAATCTTGTAGGATAAAATATTATTAAATCATTCTTACCTCGCCACAAAATGAAGTTGTGATTCAGTTTAATTAACCGTATGTTTTTGAAATTCTTAGAAAGATTATGTTAATGTGTAAAATGTGTGATGCATCGCAAATATTGTTTGTCCGGTGTTTTATATCAACAATTGGCTTATTTTCTTACATTTACCGAATTTATAAGATTTCGAAAGTGACCGCAGATCCTCATATAAGTACCCATAATCTTAAAGGCTTCAATACTTTATAGAAATATTGAACGCTTTAAATTATTTACACATTTAGTATTTTAAGGTTGCGCTATTTATAAAAGTCTACTAGGCTAAAAGTAGAATTCCCCGTACAAAAACCGAATTTTTCATTTACATCAATATTATTTTAAGTTTCCCATGTCATCAAATCGTCAATGAGCGAAATTTAATTTTCGTCATAAATATGTCCTTGACTCCAAATATCGGTTGTAAAAATTTGTTTTTGTCCTTGCCAAGCTTGATATGCGTCAACCGATTATTATCCTGGCGAAGTAACCGCTTTAAACGGCTCATCGTACATTTGCGTCAAAAATCTTGGTGCGGAGCGAAGAATTTACTCTAGGTAGAGAGGAATTAATAATCTAAAATCCATTTACTTCTGTTACTGTGATTTCACTAACTGTGTATCGAGAGAAGTTTTATCAACAAGTTCCTGGATATTTTTATCTTTGAAGTCTGTTTTCACCTGATCTTTTAAAGAAACTTCGATATCGGTGTCTATTTCGGGAATCTCCATATCTTCATGAAGCGACAAAGGCGACATCGGAGCATCAGAACGGGGCGATCTCAACCCCCAGTTTTCAAAATACAAACGGGCAGTTTCTATATATCCAGCGCTTTCCATAGCTGTTGCCAGCAAAACTAACATGTCTTCGTTCTGTGCGAGGTCAATTGGCAGGCGGCCCTTGCAATCGACGCAAGTCAGATCCGCGCAGGATTCTATAAGAAGACTAACAATATTACAATGGCCAGCAATGATCCCAAAATGAAGAGCTGTCCATCCTTTGTCATCTTTTCCTTCTATGTCTGCGCCGTGATCCAGAAGTATCATAACAAGTCTTATGTTTCCCTCGAGACAGCTTTGCTGCAGCGGTGTCAAGCCAAATTTGTTTTTTTCGTTGACTGAAATTTGGTTTCCGCCGTATTTTAATAAGAATTTCACCTTCGCCACGTCGCCTTCGACTACTGCCTGATTAAAGATTACGTTGGACGAAGACGGCCAGCGTGAAAGCTGCTCTTTGCGATCGTTCAGTCCGGCTTCCATAACGCTAAAAACAAACTTCATTGGCAAAAATGTTTTGCCGCGCCGGTGCTAACAGTGGTAAACCTTGAGACCATTGTGAATAAAAATATAACCCGGTCGAAAGCTATTGGATTATTCACGTTTCATGACAGATATGAGTGAGGTTGTATTGCTTTCTTGTGATTGCCGGTTATCACCGAGAGTTAATTCTCGGCCAAATCTTTTTAAGTCAGCATATATTACGAAGTCGCGATCACCGAACAAATAAAAGTAATTGTTGAATAGAGGAAAGTTTTTAAATGTTTTATCTGCTCTCTTCACCTGGCCGGAGCAGGTGTAAATCGCTTTTTGGACGTCTTTGAATTAATTAAAAAAAACTGATTGAATGCGAAATGAGGCCTGTCAGACGAGGTTGTGGCATCACAGGTAGCCCAAGCTCGAAATATGAGCATCGGCGAACATCAGCATTGTTGTGTAACATTCAAAATATAAGGATTTGTATGGGAAAAAAGCCTATCGTTTCTGTAACCTACGAAAATGAAAGGATTTCAATAAAGAACAGCTTACAATGTGTATTACGTCTCTCCTGTGTGGTCCACGGACTGATATACAGCCGTTTTATGGGTTTTTAGCCTGTGTACAGACGTCCGCCCCCCCTCAGGCCTCCTGAGGGAGGGGGGACGTCTGTAAAGCCGGCCTCATGGGCTATTGACTCAGAGCCCATTCGAGCTCAATTACTCCTCGAGCCCGAATGGGCTCTGAGTCACAGAGGCCGTCAGGGCGAGAGGAATAATTGTGTTAGTAAAATCCAACTAGTTGGTAAAAAATATCAAGACAAAACAACTTTAGCTAGCAAAACGCAATTCAGCTGCTATTGTTTTGGTTTTCAAAGCCGGCGCTTTCGCCAGTAGCGGGCTGTAACGTATAGCCTAGCAGTAGCTCAACCAATCAGAACGCAGCACTGATAATAGACCACTAGTTGGATTTTACTAATTGTTAAGGGACGAACCATTAGAAAACGTTTGAGAGAGGCGGGCAAAGTACAAAAAAAAATATTCGCGCAAGGGAAACTTAAATGAAAAAAAATTCATGCACGCCAATTAATCCTAAAAAATATTCATGCTATGGCCTAAAAAAAATTCATACAAGGAATTTGATAACGAAAAAAAATTCCTGCGGCTCGAAAATTCCCCCCCCCCCCCC